CCCCCAAATCACACCCCTCCCCACGAAGGGGTCACCGTCCGTCACCCCTGCACCCCCCAGAAGCAACAAACGACAGGCCGGCCCTGAGTTTTTAAGCCGGAGCGGGCTCCCTTCCCTCTTCTCTCTCCAGCAAACCGGAAAAAGAGCCCCGATTTCCCGTTAGGTGGGGGGAGGTGGGCTGGAATCAGGATAATGGTCCTTAAATGCGAGCGATGCCTTTGACTTCCTGTGATCTCTCTCTCTCCCCCTCTCTCCCCGCCCCTAGCCCCTTAACACTGAGCATTTTCATCATCCTTAAGACCAAGTAGCTGGCAAAATATTTAAGCGATCTGAAAGAAATGTTTTTATTTGCCCACGTGCGAATTGGGTTATCTGCCTATCCTGTTTATGAAATTTGGGGCTGCCTTTGCTGCAGTCTGTTCGCCTCTCGAATCTTTCCCGGCCCCCATTTCCATATTTCTGCGTGCATGTTCTTTGTTAATCACTTGGCAAGCGCTTATTTGAATATTAAAAATTTCTTTAATCATCAAAGGCAGGAGCACAGCCTCATGAATATTCATATTTTCCCCCTCCTCATTACCCTGCAGTAAAAGCCAAACAGCCATCAATCGCCCTCATTACAGGCTCTGGCGTTTTGATTGGCTGCTGGCTGCCCAGAGCTTTTTATTTTTTTTATTTTTCCCCTTCTCCTATGAGCTGTCTTGTACCTGCCAACAACCAAAAAAAAAAAAAAATCAACAATGCAAGAATAAATTTCTCCGGTTGAAAAACAACTTTGCAAACTTGTCAAACAGTCCTGGTGGCTTGCCGCTGCCAGAGTGGCCACCAGCCCAACCTGCACCCCTAAAAAAAAATAAAGATGCAGGGAAAAGTGGGGGGGGCAGAAAAATTAAATAAATAAATAAAGAGGGAGAAACTTGAGCCTCGGCGATGAATATTTGTCAAGAGAGTTGACGTAAGTTTCATTTGCATAATGACTTTGTACTTCTGCATTAATAAAATTTGCATATGAAGCCATGTTAATTACTCCTGATCATGCTTTTTGCATTCATGCATAGTAATTTTCTCCGACTTGTGAGAATTAATGTCTTGGCGTGGGGGGAGGGGGGCTCGGGGATTGTCAGGTTTTCTTGCCAGTGGCCTCGCTCACAGGCGCTGGCTCCCTGTCTGTCTGTCGCCCTCCTGGATCTATGACTCATTTTTGCACTATCAGTAGGAGTTCTTGGCTTTAAAAAAATGTATCAATTGAAAGGCACCGGTAGGGAGAAAAATATACATCTGCACGGAGTATTCCAGCGCCGCTTTCCTGGCTGGGAGACTGTAACCCTCCCACGTGGGAGGGGACGCCCGAGGAGTCTGCGCTGGGAAAGAATCCCATCCCTCTGAAACCCAGGCTGGGGCTGTGCCAGGCGAGTTTTTGTGTCTGCCCGCCGGGGGGTGTGGGCGTGTTCGCTGGGGAAGTGCGCATGTGTGAGGAGTGGAGCCGGACCATCTGCAGGGCCCTCTGGAAGGGAACCGGGGTACAGACCCCCTCGGAAGGGATGCAGCGAAAATAGGACCTTACACCCTCACTGGGAGCTCAGGAAACATTCCGGGGGAGGTCTGGTGCTTGGGCTTTTTTGTACCTCGCTGTACGGGGGTGCTCAGGGGGAGATTCTGACCCTATGAGCAGCGTGGTGCTGGACATCCAGCCTCAGTTTCCTTACTTGTGAGGCGGGGGTGGGGGTCGTATCACCGACCTCCTAGGAAGGCTGCTGGGCTTAAACCAGGCGATACATGTATTCATTGTCTGTTTCTTTTTCCCTGACGAAAGTGAACTTCCATGGTAAGGAATCCAGCCAGCCAGGGGTTTACTCTTAAGCCACCTGGATCCCGGTAAAGCTGGAATGGCGTCTTGCGGTCCCCCGGCCGCATACCGCCACGCTCGTGCGTCTGTTCCCGTTTCAGAGGGAACCCGCCCAGAGAAAGTGTTTTCTGCAGGAATGCCCCGCAGGGTATGCATGCTTCATAGGGTGCCTTTCCGTGGGGGGGGAGGTAGGGAAAGTTCTAGAATGGAGAACACATGAGTGATGTGGTGAGTGTTGACTAGAAGCCTGGCTCTGGCCAGGCGTGTCCTGACCTCCCTTTGAAGCCAAGGCTCTGAGAAGGCGACGGTACCCTGGGTCACGGGGCCAGGAAGCGGCAGAGGAGAAATTCACACCCAGGCCTCTGACTCCGGGGGGAGCGGGGGGGGGGGGCCCCCCGCATCTGAGCTCCCAGCTTCCTCTGCGCCTGTCAGGCTCTCCCCACGGGGCCGCAGGCGCCCTGCCGAGTGTTCTGGGTTCCCTGGCTGCACTTTGCAAGGCCGACACCCCTCCCCTGAGGGGGAGCAGGGGCTGGGAGGCGGCCTGGGACAGGTGCTGAGGCCAGGGGCAGTCCTCACCTTGACCTTTAAAAAAACATCTCGATAAGGTTCACCGAACATATGATTCACCACTTCAGCTGTTTCAAGGTGTCCAGGCAGTGGTTCTGGGCACATTCACGGTGCTGGGCCGCCACCACCACTCTCCAATGCCAGAGCCTTGTCACCGCAGAAGAAACCCGCCCCCCCCACCCCCCGCCCCCCGGCCCAGGAGCCTTCTCAGTGCCCGCCCCTCCCTGCCCCTGCTCCGGCTCCGTCTGTCTCTGTGCACGGGCCTGCTCCGGACTCTTCCTACACATGCAGTCCTGCAGTAGGTGGCTTCTTGTAAATTCAGCACCTTGGACTTGGGTACTGGCTTCAGAAGAGGATTTCTGGAGTTCCAGAAGGTTCTGAAGCTGTTCCAGCCCAGAACCCCCCTCTGGACACCCCCGAGGGCCCCCTACGGGCAGTTTAGGAGTGGAAGCCCCTCAATCTTGCGGGCCCCTCCCCTGCCTCCACGGAGCCGGCCCCTGGAGCAGTGTCCTGGTGGGCTTCCGCAAGGTGAGAATTCCTAACGAGGTGTGGAAGCCCCTCCAGGGGTGCCCAGCCCCACCCCTCCCTGAACTGGAGGTGACTCTGCCTCCACAGATTCTGGCTTGAGCCCAGCCTCTCCAGAGGAGGGGGTGCTGCTGGACCTGCCCTGTGGCTCCTCCGACCTCGGAGACACAGGTTCTGCTCGATTCTGGCGTGGCCAGTGTCACCAGGCCCGGGGAGGGGCGCCTTTTGGTTTTCTCAGCCCTGGTACCTGTTGGTGGCTGGGTTGTGGCCTTACCCAGAATCTGGGAGTCCACCTGGACTTGCTCTGCTGCCACCTCTGATGGCTCCACTGAGCCCACAGACCCCCAGGCCCCCCTTGGTCACCCAGGGCCCTCCCTCTCAGGTTCCTGGGGTGCTCTGGTCACTCCACCCGGCTGCAGCTTCAGGTGGGAAGCAAGGCACATGCAGGCTTTGGAGACACAACTGGGTTCAAGTTCCACACCTCCCTGAGCCTCAGCCTCCCCACTGTGGAAAGGGGATGATCCGCCGTGCTGAGCGGGCCAGCTGCAATAGGCATTCTGCACAGTCACGGAAGATCCAGAGCCTTCCGTGGTCTGTAAGCAAGGCCTCCGTAGTGGACAGGGTCAAATGTGCAGTGTCCAGGGGGTTTCAGGTGGGGACTGGCCAGGGCAAACTTCCGGGAGGAGACAGGTGACGCTGGCCTCAAGTGCTGACCTTTCTCGGGGGCCTGCCTTCCATCTGGGGCACTGCTTTCTGCTCAGCTTCTGTGGCTGGACCTGCTCATGGGGTCCTTGGCCACATCCTTCCTGGGCCTTCGGTTCAGAAACATCTCAGGTCCTGGGCTTCGCCTAGTAGGAGGTCGCCCCAATGCCCCTAGTCCTGGGTCACCGAGGAAGAACCCCGGTTCTGAAGCCAGGCAGCCAGGGTTTGGGGGGCTGGCTGCGGGTGCACTGGTGCGCTGGTGCACTGGTGTGCGCAGCTTCCTGCCGCCGCGTCGTCAGTTTCCTGGCCTGGGCAATGGGTATGGGAAGCCCCACCCCGTGGCACAGTGGGTGGGGCTCACCCAAGGCGGACATGTGACTCCTGGCCCACAGTGGGTTCGCAGTGGCTCCTCTGGACGGGGGACCCCACGTGGGGCCGTGGGTCGGGCGGGCGCCCCACCCCCTTCAGGCCCGCGTGGGGCGCTGAGCGGCGTCGGGCGGCCTCCCTGGCAGCGCCGGCCCAGGGCCCAGCTGCCCGTGCTCTTGTTGATGTTTTCTTTTTGTCTCTCTGATGCTTCCCTGCTCAATTATTTACCCAGGGAATTTGGGCTTCTTCACTTGTGGTTTTGGCAAGGGCTTCACACAAATGTTTTGCCCTGGTGGTCTCTTAGCCGTTTAAGATAAACGGTCAAATCAAATGCAGGCTGTGCCGGGGAGCCGAGGCCAGGCAGGCCCCCAGCCCCGCGCCGCGGCCGTCAGACTGGGGGGAGGCATGAGGAGGGGTGCCGGGCAGTGCCTGAGGTTTTAGGGGGGGCGCCCGAAACCTTCCGACAGGCCTGGGGCCTGGGCTGCCGAGGAGGACCGCGGGCAGGAGAGAGGCACCGGCTGGCCCTTCGCCAGGCTGGAGGGTAACCAGGGCCCCGGTGCTCCGAAGCCGGCCGGAGGTGTCCCAGGCCTGTGCAAATAGCCCATCCGCACAGAGCAAACAGTGGTGTCCAAGAGTGTCCTGGAGGGGGGTGGCCTCCAGATTTTTGGGGACAGATGCCCGAGTGGAGCCTGCTCCACAACCCTTCAGAAGCCCCCCCCAGGGGGGCCCCTACCTGGGAGTGGGCCCCCTGACCGCTCCCTGCATCAGGCCCCCCGGGATGGGAGTCCGGCCCCAAGACAGCCCAACCTGGCAGCTGTGGAAGTGGCATCCCTCAGGCCCCTGCCTGTGCCCCGGTGGTCTTCCCTGTGGGGCCTGGCACCCCAGAGGGGCGGCCTGCAGCCCTCTGCCCCGGGCCCCTGTGCCGCACGCACCCTGAGCCCCGAGTTCCGTGCAGGGCCCGACTGACCAGACTTTTCTATTGTTTTTTCTCCAGGGCCGTGCAGGCCTGCCCAGCTGCCAGCGACGGCCCCCATAGCTGCCTCCTCCTCCCACCCTCACACATCCGTGATCACCTCACCTCTGCGCGCCCTGGGCGCTCTGCCGCCCTGCTTCCCCCTGCCCTGCTGCAGCGCGCGCCCGGTCTCGGGTGACGGGACTCAGGGTGAGGGGCACACGGAGGCTCCTTTTGGATGTCAGTGTCAGTTGTCAGGTAACAGACGCCGCGGTGGGCGGGGCGGGCTCCCGGGGGTGGCGGGGCAAGGTGGGGACTCAGGGGGCCGTGCAGCCCCTGCCCCGGAAGGCACTTCTCGGGGGGGGGCGCCAGGGGAAGCGGTGAAGGGTGCCAACGGAACTGCGCACCAGTGTCCTGGTCCCCACGGGTCGGGAGGTCCCCCCACGCCTCCACCCATTCTGAGCGTCTCCCAGAAGGAGCACCCCCCGCCCCCATCCTCCAAATTCCATCTCTTTGGGCTGTTTAGCTCAAGCTTAATTGGATAACGCTGAACATCTGAGGTTTTCTTCTGCCACCCGCCCCCCCACCAGACACGCCAGAAGATCCCGTGGTTGTCTGTGTGCATTGCTGAGCCGTCCCGTGCGCGGAGTTTCTTCTTTGTGACAATGTGTTGCCCATTAACTCTGAGGAAACAAAGTCACTCGGAAGGGCCTTTCGGGGGGCGGGCGTGAGACCTCGTGGGGTGTGCTGGGGGCTCGGGGCAGGGCCACGTGTTTCCCGAGGGGCTGATCACCCACCGTGTGCCTGGACGCCGGCTGGCGTGGCTGCCCATTTTACAGATGGGCACCCGGGGGTAGTGAGGCGACTCAACCTGTCCACCATCAATTACGTCCTCCCCCCACTCTGTCCCCAAATAGAACCCAAACCCCTGCTCCGGCCGGGAGCCCGTGGGACTCGTGGGCAGGGACCTCCCCTTCCGGCCTCTCCCGCCCAGGTTCTCAGCGTGGCCCGCTTGGTGCGGAGCGCATCCAGGCCCCCGCGAGGCCCGGGTGCTGACACGCCCTGGGCGGTGGTGAGCACCTGTGGCCTGGTGGCCGGGCAGGGGCCGCGTGAGGAGAGGGTGGGTACAGAGTGACGGCCCCCTGCAGGACGTCTTTTGACTTGGGCGGTGAAAGGAAAATGCTTTTTGATGATGGCACAGGGTCTGGGTGTAGCTGCAGCTCCTCCGGGGGAGGGTCCCTGTGGAGCCACAGCTCTGCCGAGGGCCGCGGGCAGTCCCGGCTCCGGGGTCCAGCGCTCGCAGGGCCTTGCTGCTCCTGGGGCAGCCTGCAGCCTTCAGCACGCTCCTGCGACCGAAGGCGACGTCACAGGTCCTGGGCTCACGCTTTGCGTGCACGAAGCAAAGATGACATCACATGGAGGGGTGTTGCAGAGCAGCAGGCCGGCCTGGCGTCCAGGGGGCCGAGGGCGCCTGCCCAGGCTCCGCGGGTCCGTGCGGTGATCCCTGCGTGCGGGGCGCCAGGGGCTGCCCGGTCTGGGCGGCTGCCCCGCTCTCCGGCTTCCTGTAATTAGTGCTGCAGCCCCACGTGGAGGGGTGCGCTCTCCTAGATCTGCCCAAGTGTTTATGGCTGGGCTCGGTCAAGTTCTGCGGCACAGAAACACGATCCCCCTGGCGCTCGGGGAGTGGCTTAACCCTCTGCTGGCGCTGGCTCTGCCTGGAAGCCGCTGCGCCGTGCAGGGGCTGTCCCTCCCCCATGTTGCGGATGGGGAGGTCAAGGCGCGGGCGGGGCGAGTGGCTGGACTGAGGTTGGGGACCCGGAATTTCTCATCAGGACGCCTCCTGACAAGGCCGCCCCTCCCACTGGGGCACGCGCCTCGGCCTCTGTCCAGGGGACGTTCCTCACACACCCGTGCCCAGCCACAGTGCCACCCACTTCCCTAGAGGGAGTGTGTATTGAGGGCCTACTGTGTGCTGCCTGTGCTTGGCGTTTTGTGTACCTCCTTGAGTTTAATCCTCACGGCCGTCTTAGGAGGGAGTTCACTCCCTACTTCACAGAGGAGAGAATGAGGCCCAGAGACTTTGAGGTCTCAGAACTCCATTCATTCATGCATTCATTCATTCATTCATTCATTCACTCATTCCTTCCCTCACTCATTCCCTCACTCATTCATTCACTCATTCACTCATTCATCACTCACTAATTCATTCATTCATTCATTCACTTATTCCTTCCCTCCCTCACTCACTCATTCACTCACTCACTCATTCACTCACTCATTCACTCATTCATTCACTCATTCATTCACTCACTCACTCACTCATTCACTCACTCACTCATTCACTCACTCACTCATTCACTCACTCACTCACTCACTCACTCATTCACTCACTCACTCACTCACTCACTCACCCATTCCTCCAGGACAAGCTGCTTCCTGGGCACCGAATTTGCAGACACTGCAACGGAGGCAGAGTTGGGCACACGGGCCCCTGCCCCGCTGCAGCCTGGTGGTGGCGGGAGGATCGGGGAGGGGGATGTGCACACCGTGAGGAGGACCCTTCGAGGGGTCAGAGGCGGGATTTGGTCCTGGGCTGCTCACCCAGCACCTGTTTCCTCTCTGACGTTGGCTCCTCTGGCTCGGAGGAGGCCTTTCTGGGCGCCCCGACTCGGCTCTGCAGCGCTCACGGCCCGAGAGCGGACCCCGAACCTGTTGGCAGGGTGGGGGTGTCTGCGCCTGGGGCCCCTGGAACCGCTCGTTCCGACCCAGCGCTCGGCCTCTGGCGCGCCCCACCGGTCCCCAGCACCGTCCCCTCGTCACGGGGTCCCCATTCCCCAGCCTGCATCAGGTCGTGCCCCCGTATCTTCCGATCGGTTTTAGTTCCGGAAACGCCCTGTTCCAGTGGTTTCGGTCCCTTGGTGGCTTCTGTCCCTGGCCCTGGACTCTCTCTGCTTAAGCGCGCTCAGTGCCTGTTTAATCAGTGGCCGGAGCGGGGTCCTCGCGTCCCCAGGAACCGGCGAGGAGGAAGCAGGCTTGGGTCCGGCTGGGAACTGCTGCTCCTGCTGTGTCTTGCTCCTCTCCGGGTCAGGACGCACCGGACCTGTCCCTTCAGATTAACACGGAAAACCCCGCGTCGCGGCGTCTGGGTCACGTTAACTGCATGCCGGGAACGCGCTCGTGGTGGTTCATAGGAGGATGTGACTTCGGCGGGGGAGGAGACCACACAGGTGTGTGTGCTGTGCGCCTCTCGGGCCGGCGGCACCCCAAACGGCCCCGCCTCCCGGGGCCCCGACCCCGACCTCCTGCCCACGGTCACGGCGGGAGAGGGCACTTCTCCGAGCCCTGCGCACCTGTTGCCCTTTGGGTCTGCTGAGATAACGGGCGGCCGAGCCCAGGCGCTCCTGGCCAAGGACGTTTCTTCCTGAGAAACTCCACGCAGGCGCTTCCCCAGGCCGCCTGCGGCCTCGAGGGGTTCGGGCTGTGGTCCTGGCCCTTCCTCTGCCTGGCTGGTGACCTTGAACAAGTCCTCTCCGCCTCTCTGGGCCTCGGTTTCCCCGTCTGTGAGAATATACGCATGTAACATACACACACACACGTACACATCTAGGTCTGTGATATGTATGTACACTTGAAAACGAGCCTCCTTGTATCGATCCCGAAGGGAAGCACAGCGGCCTGTTTCGAGGGCGGAGTTCCCGCGGCAGGGTGGGCGCGGGGCTTGGCTCGAGTCCCCAGGGCAGGGTTGGGGTGTGCAGAGGAGAGTTCGAAAACCCCTGGGCTTGGGCCCGAACCTGTCTCGGTTCTGAGGCTTCTGCGACCCAGAGCTGACATCCGCGCGCACCGGCCTCTGAGATAAAGTCTGCGGTGCCCTGTACAGAGCCGTGTGGCCTTGGGCAAGTCATTTCCCTCCCTCTGCCTCAGTGACCCCACCTGTAACCTAGAGGTCGCGCTCGTTGATGCTTCTGGGGATGGCGTGGAGGATCGAACGCGGTCCCGTGCCCAGTGCCGGGAACAGCGCCCCACGCTGAGCCCTGTAGACATCGCGACTCGTGCGGGACTGGCCCGGGGCTCACAGCTTCTCAGGGTCCGTGCGGGCTCTTACTTCAAGCTGGAGGAGGCCGGGTTTCCGTTCTGAAAGGCGTCGACCCTCTTGTCCGGCTCTGAGCCTGCTCCAGCATCGGGAGGGAGAAGAGGACTCAGGAGGCATGCCTGCGTGCCGAAAAGCTGCGAACAGTCATCAGCCCCGTTGATTCATACGCGAGCTCGGTGAAGTTCAGGGTCTCACGCAGGCACACACAGGACCTGCCTGCCTGAGCTGGGGGAAGGGGACGAGTTCGGGTTTAATAGGAGGAGTCGGTTGCCGTCGTGAGTACCCGCTGCAACCACAGGGCCGCCCTGTAAAGTTAAATTCCATTTACTTTTCTACTGGAAGTGTGCTTGCTGTGTTATTTAACCAGGCTGGGGTTTCTTGGCTTGGGCTAAGGGGACAATAAAGATAAAAGAATACCTGTAAGTAAATAGTAGGGTTCGACCGTAGAATCTATCGTTTTCTCCTCCTTCAATTATATCCCAGTGTTCGTCTTGTGTCGGTTTTTATAACCGGGGCCGTCCAGTGGGACGCCGTGGAGCAGACCACCCCGGCTGTGGAAGCTTGGTGCAATTAATACAGTCTGTCTGGAAAGTGGCCTTATTTCTGGAAGTTTTATGTTAATGATATGGTCTGTGCTTTGCACATTTCATACCAGCACAAGAAGCAAGCTGCAGTTTCGTTCTGGACTGGGTTTGATTAGCGCCGGAGGATCGGGGGGGCGGGGGGGGGAGCCGAGGGGCGCTGCGGGCCGGGCCGGGCCGGGCCGGGCTAGCAGCGCCCGCCACGCCCCCGCCGGTGCAGGGGCTCGGTGCTGCCCAGGGGTGCAGAGGCGCCCCGGTGGGGCGTGAGCGCCTCGTGGAGACTCTGGAGGAAGGGGTGAGTACGGGGCGAAGAGGACGAGAAGCGAGTGCGGGGGAGCGCACGTGGACTGTGGCAGCGCCCGGCGGGGGCGGGTGGGAGACACGCTCGTGCGCCTCCCCGCGTGAAGGCGTGTCTGTGGTTGGGTTGTGCCGGGCCCACTGGGGCCCAGGTCCACGGGGATTGGCCCACTGGAGAGAAAGGCTCTCGGGGGAGTTATTAAAAATTTAGAGTCATCTGCATGCCTTGGGAGGTCTGCATCACCAAAGGGGCCGGGGCCCCAGCAGATGCCACCCAGTGGGAGTTCTGC